TGCATCCATGTGTGGCATCCCAAAGCCCCACCTCCCAGTACTGAGGGCCTAGGTCATAATCCCAGCCCCAACAAGGAATAACAAGTATTTCTGGGTTTGTGAAGGAAAGCTTAGCTCCTGACCCTGGGGCCTTCAGTATTAGCCAGAAAATCAAACCACTTGTTGGCATGAAATCTCATAATTTTCATGCAAGCCTCAAAAAAATTTAGCACCTGAGGTATTCAGCCCTGCAAATGTGCACTGCTCACCAGCAAAGCATATGGTACCATGGCCAGACTAGGAGAGACTAGTGAGATCTCCAAATGCAAATGGCCAGGAGCGGGAGGCTGAGAGCAGTTGGCTGAGTTGGATCCAGTCAATAGCAGTGGGTGCATCTACACATGTACTTTACCGCAGATTTGACTAATTAGCTCCACTGTAAAGTGTCACAGTCTTCATGTGTGCCAGTATTGCCTGAGAGCAGTTCTGATGTCATAACAACACTTGGGAGATGACTTTAACCACTGAGTCACAATGCCCCAACCCAGGGTGACCAGGGGCAGGGACCCCCACAGGTAGGATGGACGCCAGGATGGATCATGCTGCAGGTGTTGTATGATGACTGAGGGGCTATGGCTGGACCTCCTGTGTTGAGCCATACCTGGTAGCTGGATGTGTGTGGCCTAGTTCAGCTCATTACCTGCAGTAGCAGCCATTGTATTGAGTTAGATTTATATTAGCCTGTGATGACTTTGTGGTCACTGGGCAGGAACCATTTCATCTGAATGTTACAACCTTGTGCAAAACACGTCATCTTCACTGTATCATTGCCTTTGTTCCTCTTCCATGTTAACTAGCATGCTGTTTCCTTCCTTGCTGTGTCTCTAGGTCTGACTTGTTTTACACATGATCTCCTTTCATCCACCGTGAACTGAGACCCAAACAATAGTTCTTGGAGACCACATTGTCACTTGCTGTCTAGGCATCAGTGCCCTCAGAACAGGTCAGTTAGACAAGGGATAAAATGATGAACCTACTGTAGTGATCTTTGGCTAATTACAGGTAGTTTACAGGTCAGGTATGGAGTGAGACAGTGAGGATAGGAGTAGAAGTGGCACTGGTCAGATAATTTAGATAAATGCTTTAAAGAGGTGGTGAGATGGGCAGATGAAAGAGATGTATGGAGAAGATGGTGGATTGTAGTTGGAAATGGATGGATGTGTACGGTAGCTATATGTAGAGTTGAATAAGAGACTGTCCCAGTGGGTGCTAAAATGGGCTGGTCCATCTGGTACATTATAGAATCGTGTTTACCTGGCAAGCTCATACTTCTCTTCCCTAAATTCTGCATGCTCAGACATACTCCCCAACTCCATACAACCCCAGGCTGCCTCTGTATCAATCCCCACTTTGTCTCTCCAAAGCAAGAGGCCCAGACCCTTCAGAAGGAGCATCTAGAAACTGCCCTTCTGTAGGACTTCTCACTCTTCATTGTTCAGCCCCTGTCCTGATATTTACAGGACTTCTGGAGCATGATCCCTGCAGGGTCCAGCCCACACAGACTTGTCATTAGGGGTGCCTGTGTCCCCTTGTCCCCTGAACACAAAGCTCACAAAGCTTCCTGGTGGCATTGTGGAATCAGAGCCCCTTGTAGCCAGTTCTCAGGCTCTCTGTCCAAGTTATTTGCATTCTCCTGTCCCAGCACACGTCTCACAAAGGGCAAATCAGCCTGAGGCTGGCACATGGTTTGCTGGTGGGAAGTGCTGATCCCTTGCCGCCCCACTGCAGCGATTGCATACTGAGCCCCTGGGAGATGTAGCTCAGGAAACCCTGATAGGTAGCGTGGGAACAGAGGTGCAGGGGGCGAAGGAGTCTAAAAGAGAAAAGGAGGAAGAGAAGAAGATAAAGGGAGCTGGAGCAAGTGAAATGAGAAGAGAAGAGTCAGGAGTGGAGGGATGGATAGTTCAGTGCCTGCAGTAGAAAACAGGACAGATGTGTGTAGTGGATGTCCACTACACACATCAGGGGCTCAGGGGCTTTGGTGGCTGAGGGTGCTGAGCTGTTTCAGGCTTCAGAGGCCGTAGCACTTGGGAACCGGAGAAGAACTCTTCCAAAGGAGTGCTAGAGGGCAAGGAAGGGAGGTAGTCGTAAGTGGCCTCTTATAGGGACATGCACAGGCAGGAGGTGTATGTAGGCTGTCACGGCTGCACACTGCACCTGTTGAGACCAGCCAGACTGGGTTGAAAGCCATGAGATGTAAACACACCAGAAGGGTGAGTCTGATGTGTCTTTTGTTTTGGTGCCTTCTGGGTCAAGATATCAACTCACACGTACGCCTCCCAGTGTCATGATACATGTTCTGCTGAGGGATGACTGATCCTCTTACCCACTCCCACAGCTCCAAGAGCTGGGACTTGAAGGGAGAATCGAGTATGGCTGGACTCTACTGGCATCTCCAGTGGCCAGTGGACTACAAATGCTGTGTAGTGTGTTGGAAACCCAGTCACTTGGCAGAAAAAACCCACAGGTTCGCTGCTGTTCCTGACTTCTCAGCTCCTCCTGAAAGGACATCTGGGGACAACTGCTACATGTGGAGACAGCAGGAGCTGTTTACTTTCCAACTTGGTGTGCAGGGACCTGTACCTTTAAGAGGCTCTAGGATAGCCTGGTTGGGGACAGTAGTTGTGCTGTGCAGAGGCTCAGTATCTCAGCATCCCCACAGGGGCTTTGCAGTGAGCACTTCAGGATGGAAACTCTCATACTGTAAAGATAAAAGCCCTGCTCTGCAAAAGTGTTAGGGAGGGAGAGCATTTCAGATGAGCAGACACAGCGTTTCCTGTGGGGTCACAGATGGAGCCGCATCCAGCCAATCGTCACCGTACTCTTTCCTCTTACAGGGACTCATCAATGGGAGCAGGACAGATACACCTGTTTGTGTTCTAATTCAGAAGCTCACCATCCTCCGCTTGTGATCTGTGAAGAAAAAGAAAAGGTACGGGGCCTGGATTCTTTGTATGGGAAGACTAGGGAGTGTTTGAGGGGTGGTTTGTTTCCTTCAAAATGTGACTGATCCTTTTATACCTTCTGGTTTAGACTGTGCTGCCCAAGGAGCAGAACTGGGTGATTTGGGAAAACACTAGGTGAGGTGGAGTGGTTTTGGGATCCAAGAGAATCTGCTTGTCAATGTGTTTGCAATGAGTTCATGGATGGAAAGGCCGTGGGGTCCGGAAATGTTTGCCACAGGCAGGGAGGAGGAAGCATGTAGCTGGACTGAGTTGGAGGCAATTGTCACCAGGTAGAAGTTAATGATCATCTTGTTGTGAGGATGAGACATCACAGACTACAGTGTAGATTTAGTCCAGGTTGGGTTGTGGTTCCCTCTCACAAGGACATGATGCAGAATGGGAGACGGAGAAGCTTCTGATCTGAAAGGATTTCATGTCCCCAAAGAGGGTGACAAGATTCAGATTCTTTCACTCTCCTTAAAGCACAATGGGCCAGACCTTGTGCTGGTGTCAGAGCTCCTTGGGCTCCAGTGGAACGATGCTGACTGGCACCAGTAGAGGATCCGGTCTGGTTGTATGAAGGAGCCCCATCCCTGACCAGCCGGACAACCTCAGGCAAACACGTTCTCCCTGTATGCTGCCACACTGACAGCTCCCTTTTATCTGGTGCAAGCTAGGCAGAGCTCTTGTGCAAGTAGTTGAATTACACTGGTCCTCCATAGTCTCTCTGGTATATTACCTATAGGATAGTGAGCCATTTTTGGTTCAAACCATAAGTAATAACTTTAGCCTTCAAGGCCAGTGAAACTCAATGATCTGTTCTAGGGTCCTTATACATTGGATCCAGTCAATAGCAGTGGGTGCACCTACACATGTACTTTACCGCAGATTTGACTAATTAGCTCCACTGTAAAGTGTCACAGTCTACATGTGTGCCAGTATTGGGGCACAGTAAAATAATAACTCTGCTGAAATGCACGTGTGGACAGTGACAGGGATGGGATGGGACATAAGATGCTAAAATGCAGGGGCTGCATACTGCCTATCCCCACATTGTAGCACCCTCATGCCCCAGCCAGCTCTGACGCCACACAACACCTCCATCCAGAGCCTGGGGCTGACCTATAGTAGCCCAGGACTACTCTGCCCAACCTCAAAGTGCTGCAGACCTGGGCATATATGTAAATGTTCTGTTAAAAAGCAATTTTCTCTGGCATGAACTGTGTGGAAGTTTATCATGCTGCATTAATTGCATGTGTAGAGGCACCTAGTATGTTGCAACACTTCTTGAAGGCAATGAGGCTGATATGAAGTCATGAGTTGAACTGTGGAAGAGAGATTTTTGCTTTCAAAACAACATTTCAACATGAGAAATGTGCTTTTTGGTTCCAAAGACTGATTGAAGAAGATGTATATGCTTTCAATACCTCTGCCTCCCTGACTCTGCCACCGCCCACCCCCCTGCAGTGCAGTGCTGTTTTGCAAAACTGGCACTAGGCAGTCACATTTTGTCACAGAATCTTCTGGCTTTTTTTGGTGAGAAAATTTTTGAACAACTGTCACCAATACAGGTAGACCACACATTAAATTATGACGATAACATGTCATAGTGACTCATTAACACACACAAAGAACTTTCTGAACACATTGTTACTTGGTGAACACCATCCATGCTGTGCACTGAATGTACCTGTAGACAGTGTTAGGCAAGAGGAAAGTATGTGCTGCTTTAATTAATGATAGTACAGAAGAGCTGAGCTGATTTAGCAGTGAAGACCACAGTAAGTCTGGTGTCTTGTAACTTCTGAGTGTTTTTGCAAACATTACCCTCCCTGAATGTTGATTTATCTTCTAAAGTGGTTACAGAGTATAACATGCTAGAAAGCTGGGCCCCTCCTAGAGTTATCTCAAAGGATCAGGCTGTTTAGGAAGCTCATCAGTTCCCCATTGAGTACCACCCAGCTGATTCAGCCTTCTCAAACCCAGGGTATAACTTCTCTCTCCCTAGTACTGGACATGAGTGAGCATGCGGTAACCTACTTGGATGTGAAATTTGATCGGTCTAACAGGAAGAAACCTGGAAAGAAAGGTACAGCATGGAATCAAATATAATTCCAAAATTGATAGCATTGTTCAGGTAGAAACCCTAAATCCTTTTTTTAAGTATTAACTGTTATAAAAAAAAGCCTGCTTACAAGAAAGGAGAAGCCCTCTGAGACATTTGGCCATGGCTTGCTTAAGATGTCTCATTTTGGTCAGGTCTGGCTTGGTCAGGTTGCTTAAGATGTCTCATTTTTTAGCTGTTTAACATTAAAAAAAAGGGACAGCTTCTGTTCTTGCCAAGCACCACATAGGACCCAAAGTGCTGTGCAGCTCTGGTGCTCTCCTCATCTCTTCAGTCCTGCTCTTGCACATGAGCAGGTGAGAGCCTTTGCCTTAGGGCATAACCCTTTGATTCCCCAGAAAAAAAAGCCTCCATCACTTTTTGACAAGCCCAGTCTGGCTTTGAAAATCAATCAGTGGGTTACCTCCTGCTGAAATTGAGCAATGGGTTACCTCCTGCCAAATCCAACACCTCAGTCCTAAGGGCATTTTCCTAGATAACATGATGGCTGGGGTTACCACTGTATATACTGCTTAAACTTAAAGCTGTACACTACTGGATATTTCCCATGTAGCTGGTAAAAAACATCAGCACCAAATATCCAAACCCTTGACTTGTTTGAGTAGTGTTTGAGGAGCTCTCAATTTCTCATTCATTTGCCTCTCCAGTGATAACAAAAACAAGTGAGCTCATCACATGTGAGATGCGATATTTCTGGGGGCCATTTGGCTTTGGCTCCTGCATCTATCTGAGCTGTGACAGCTGTTTCCTGTCTCCCTTTTGAATTACTTTCCTAAATGTTGTCTTCCCTCATGGGATAACAGAGAAACCAGGGACCCTGCTATTACAGGCATCTTGTTCATGGCCATATTGTTCTGTGAGCTCGCATAAAGCCAAGTCTAAACTCTCTGTCCCCATTCTCTCTCCAGTGAGACAGAAGGAAACAACAACTTATTCTGAGCTGAAGTTTCAGAACCTGCCTGAGCAGCAGAGAAGCACGAGAGCTCAGGAGACAGAGGACAGAGGGACTGGGGACAGCTCAAGCCCTCAGAGGAGAAATAAAGGTAATATTGTCCTGGTTTCACAAGAACACTTGGCTTTCACCTGTCCCCGTTACCACCATAGACACAAAAAAAATGTCATACCCATGTTGTGCACTATGTAGTGAATCCAACTGCTTCATCATACCTTCCCTGTGGGCTTCTCACTTGAGTCATTCTGTAGCAGAGTGCAACCCTGAAGCTTGTAACCAGCACTTGTGTTTACTTTACCATCTATAATATGTTTCCTATGTGTATTCTTTTTATACTCCTTCTTTCAGGGCATTTAGGGGTTCAGCTTTTCTGTCCACTGTTTTTACAACCAATGAGTCCCTCCCTCAAATTGTCACACACTCTGGATGTAAATCAGGGATTTGCTACACCACTGATACATTCCATATCTGAAATTACAGAAAAAATAATGAAAGAGTTCAGAAAGATCTTCCTTTACCTTGTAAAGATAAAGGCCTAAGGAACTGTGTGGTCTATCCTTCAAACATTTGGAGTTTTGTGCTCCAGACCTCCAGGGTCAGAGCCTAATGCATCACGATGAAAGCAGACTTGGCTCATGAGGGCTTACTTGCCCTCCTAGCCATACTCATAACCAAGTTCCCATAGAGAATGTGCTGCTGGCTTAGAACATGAGTCTATATTTTATAGTATAAGGTATAACAAACATACATACGGTTTAAGACAGCACTTACATAATTTATTCCAATTAAAAACTGTAACAGGAAACTACCAATTAAGAAATGTTAATCCTTTTGATCCTTGTTCTCTAAACTGCCTGGGAATTCACCTCTCAGCCTGTCCAGGGAGTTACAGAAGTTACTTTGGCCATTGGACATTTTCCCAATGTACCTGCTCCTTGGCTACCTCTCACTGCCAGGACAGTGTTGCTCTGTACCTAGGGTACTGGCTGTGAGGAAAGGCAGCTAAATGTCATGGTGCACCTGTGCCCCCTAAAGTCGCAATCAAATGTTAATCACTGGGGCTACTATTATTAGATACTTGACTACAGAGAGTGGCAGTGGGAAGAATTTCTTCAGATATGATACCAGGTGTTGGACTGGCCTGGTGAAGTGGTTTTCTCCGAAGAGCATTCAATTAAATGCTAAAACACACTTTATCTGGAGCACATTTCAACTCTTGTTTTGTTCTCTTTTCCCTAATATCCAGGCACAACATCATGAGCATTTATGAAAAGCAAATTTTGGGCTTTTATAGATATAGATATAGATATAGATATAGATATAGATATATAAAACAGAAAGCTGGTTGTGGATGATTGACTTGTCTGTAAAATCCAGTTGGCATTATACTTGGCATTTGCATGTTGTGTGATCCGAACAGAGCATATTTAGAATATTTATGGGAACCTGACTGCTCTGCAAATGAAAAGTTATTCATTCCAGATCCTGGAGATGATATGCAATAGTAATGACACCCTAGCATTGTCCAACATGCACACAAACAGGAGAGAGACATAAGCAGGCGCAGCTCCTGAGCATTTTCCTGATACAGTCTTTTCCTCCAGCATTGGCCTGGGTTGCTGTGTCAGTCTGTAGTTCATCTGTTGTTGATTCGGCATCATCTGTTTCCATGACTAGACACACAAAACTTACTTCGAACATTTTTTTTCCCAAAAGCACTCTGCTGTTTTCAAGACACTTTTCCAGGGCCTGGTCCACATAGGAGCACTCATTGTCATCTCCTTTCACATACTGCACTTTCCCCTGCCACACCACTCACTGTTTTTCAGCAAGTGCAGCTGTTTCTAAGACACATGTTTAAAGATGCCCACATAAGTCGCTTTCTTTTTTCCCTTGCCAAGTTATTTGACGGTTGATGCAGTGAATCTTGTGTTTGGCTGATATCAATACTTGCATTATTTGTATTTCTTCACCAGATCCTTCAGCTACACCTCTTCGATGGCAGCTTGCCACCCTTGTTCTTGGGTTTCTCTGCCTGATTTTATTGATAGCAACAGGAGTTTTGGGTTACAATGGTAAGTTTATAGAGAAGGAATCACTATGGATCTGACAGGAGTCCTTGCACAGTTTTTGAAGGCAGGCAGTGTTTTCTCATGGCTCTAGGAAGAGTCTAATATATGACAATACTTGCAGTATGCCACTCAAATAGTAGATGTCTCTGTGGGCTGTGTGCAGTATTAAGCAGAGTTTAGCACCTAATAAATTAGTTCAGTTCTGGCTTGTAAGATCACTGGGGCATCCATCCACTGTGCAATGTATGTGGTCTCCTGTACACCTGCCTATTTTGTTTTTATGCTAGTCAAGCGTGCCAGGGACTATTACCAATATGTCTTTTGATTGTTGTGTTCTTTTCTTTTAAATGAGATGAACTGCACAGAAGCCAGAGAAACAGAGATCACCTTCTTCCTTTATACAGTTCAGCTGCCCCCTGCACATCATATTGATGCAATGCTCTAGTGTTGTACAGTTTGCTTTTGCACCAAAATTATACTGACCATATCTGAGCAGTTACCATCTCTATTACAAAAACACTGCTAGGCTGCTCTGAAGTGGAAGTCCCTGAGTTGGACCCAGAGCACAAGCAGCCCACTCACAATTCAAGTGGAGACTCTCCTGTAACTACTGACATCTTCTTAAATCCAAAGCCCAGTAGCTCCACAAGAGCAGCTTGATGCAGCGTATAAATTCCATTACCATTGCATCCTGTGTTGGGTAACACTTGATAGTAACACGGAGAGTCTGGTCTGAAAACACTGAGGTCACAGTTCCACTATGGTTTTCACTGCTGGTTGCTTCAGCCCCTTGAGCAGACTATATGCAATGTGTGTTGTCTCCTGTATGCCTGGCTATTTCTGTTATAAGCCACTAGAGCTTCTACACATGTGGCTATTCTGGGCTGGAGCCTCAGAGTAGCGTGAAAGGTCCTAGCTGTGGTGGACTCCCTGCAGCAAGTTTCATCAACACAGCAGAGAACTGGCCTGCAGCCCTGAAACCTGTGTTTAGAAAATAGAAAGTATTTTCATACACTCCATGTACTATGTCATATGGGCAAATCTGTGTTGTTTTGTGCACTGAAAAATGCAACTTTAATCATAGATTTGTTAAGCAGATTGTTAGCCCAGCACATCCCCATCTGTGGGTTGCTTCCTTAAGTGAGTGCTGGCTTGGAGATACGAGTTTGGGCTGTCATGCAGACGGGTGCTGTGGGCAGCCATTATGATAGTATTATTTTTTGAGCTCCTTGATGCTGTGTGGGATTGACATCAGCAGACCTGTGCTAACTGGGACAGGTGCTTTAGACACTTTACTCTGTGCCCAGTCACAATGCTTTTGCCACCCAAGGTAGGTTGAGCTGGTCAGGACCTGGATTTCAGCTCTTAAAACAACAACATCCCCCCCCCCCAAAACAATTCCAATCCCTCCAAAAAAACCCAACAAAGCTTTTGATATTTGGTTAGCCCCAGATGGGAGTGCAGAGCCCGAGCCTCCACATTTCGTACCAAAATGATTGCATTTTGGCTTGGCTTTCTGTTTGGGGCTTAAAAGCCACCAGAGGCCCAACTCCAAGCTAGCCCTGCAAGAAAGTTGTGGAGGAGCCAGACTCCTTTGCTTCCTTCCAGGTGGGCATACTAGGAACAAGACAGGTTTCCATTGCCAACCAGACACAGCTCCATGGAGCATGTAGTCAAAATGGCTGTTTGTGCAGTGGGACTCAATTTTGAGAAATCCTCATTTTTGCAATAAGAAAAACTGCTCCACCAGAAAATGTCCAGGAGCTGTAACTGCACACAGTATTAGTGCAACTGAGGGGTGTGTGACACTGCACAAGAGAGAGCATCGGATCTGTGAAACTCCTCTGCAGCCATTATTATCTATAACAGGCACTGATGTGGTGTTTTGATGTTTCAGGGTGTCAGCCAGGCACAGAGCAGGAAAACTCCATAAACGAAGAGGAGCACCTCACTGCTAAGCCAACATCCTACCAAAAACCCAGCCTACCGGGAACATCGAGAAAGCAGCCCCAGGACACAGGTAAATCATAGGCCGTTGTCTCCACAGGGCAGGTCCAGTCCTGTACATGAGGCAACATCACCACCCAAAGATGGACTGGCCTTGGCTGAGGGATATCCTTGGAGATGCGGCTGTGTGGTCCCGCTGGTGGGGAGTTGTGGAGAAAGGGGGATCCTCTCTGTCTGCGCCTGTCAGGCTCCTGACTCACCCATAAGGCTGTGGGCGCCACTCTCTGCCCTTGTACGCAGTGAAGCAGCTATTCTTGGAGGGGAAGACCGATCCCCTTTCAGATGTATGAAACAGAAGGTTCCCCTCCAGTGCGCTGTAGGGCCCATGAGGTACATGAGGTGGAGGATCAGAGCGGGTAAAATCCTTGTGGTCCTGACAGCAACATGCCCAGCACAGGGCAGTAGGGGAAGTGGTGAGTTGATTTGTGCTGTGTCTTTGTTTCAGCGGAGAAGTGTCCAGTGCTGTGGATGGCCAAGCAGAGCAGGTCCTACATGTTTTATCCTAAAAAAGAAACTTGGGAGCAATGTAATTCCTCCTGCACTTCTCAATCTGCTGTGCTGCTCAAGATAGAGAGTAAAGAAGAGCTGGTAAATGAGTGTTTCCTTTAATATATTGGTACATTTTTGCCATATGACTGCAGCCAGGATGGAGTCAGGCTCTAGGGCTGGGCTTTCTGGTACAGCTTCAACTAGGCTGGGGGTGAGGATGGGGAGGATAGAATTCAGTGTGGGGTTTATCTCTATGCACACAGGTGTTTTATTGTATTTCCAGAGTACTGTGTGCATGGGTTGAGCCATGTGTCTGATCTTACAGTACTACCTGCAGTAGGTTTGAGAACTTACCTAGCCAGGCTGGTACTGGGTCTTATGCAGGTACTGGCTACCCAGTTTTCTACAGGGGAGAATCTCTGCACTGAGGCTCATGGTTATACTATAGCGCTCTGCTGATGCTCTCTATGTGTTTGAGATAACTCACTGCCATTCCATCTCATCGTATTGTTGTACAGAGTTTCATAACCACCAAGTCTTTTGAATATGCTGAAGATCGTGGAAGCAGCGTATACTACTACCCATTCTGGATTGGATTGTCATTTGACTCCAGAAAGGCGAAGTGGGTCTGGGCGGATGCTTCAGCTCTTTCCTCTGGCCTGTAAGTCTGTGTCACTAGGGCAGTGGTTCCCAGACTTTTGGTATCTGTGGCACAGGTTTCTTCTAGATTAAAAGTGGTAGCACACTTCACTGTTATACCAGAGAAGGTGTATGTATGTATCTTTGTGTGTTTTTGTGTGCGCGCATGTGTGTAAGACCCAGGTTCAAAACGCAAAACATAACAGATGCTATTCTCCTGCCAGAGGAAATCACACCAGAAATGAGAGGTACTGTTGAAAAAACACAACCTGTTTCCCAGTTTTCTACTGTCTGCACCTGTTGAAACCTGGTCTGTACCTCAGCAGATATGGTCAGATTCTGCTGTTGTGATTGCTGCTGCAGGGTTTTTCAAGCCAGCGACCACCCTCATGGTACATGGCACCTCCTGCCAGCCCCAGGAGCATGGGAGGGGTGGAGGGGATTAATTGTTCTGCAAAATGTCTGTCTGTCCTTCTATGTGCAGCAAAGAGCACTACTCAGAAAAAGGCCAGGGTGTGGGGTGGATACAGTGGGTGCCTGGTGGTGAGGAAGGGCTGGGGAAGGCAGCACCACCAGTAGCAGTCCACAGAGGCGCAGCTGCATGCAGTGCTGGTGTAGCTGTACTCAGCTCTGCACTGAAGTGCAGCATTTGCATCTAGGTGTAATTTCTCCCGGAGCCACAAGGGGCTGACACTGCCGGCAGAGAAGGGTTTGTGCTATTAGCTCAGTGTTGTATCTGAAAGACTGCCAGATGCTGCTGCCACTATACAGGCTTCTTCCTGTGACTAGTGACAATGTCAACAGCGCAGGGATGGAACAGTGTCATGACACCTCCTCACTTCCCTCAAATAGCTTTTCTCTTCCTTAAACTGTCCATTTGAATGCAATTTCCCATGTCTTTGGCAGACCAATATACCATCATGAGTAGCCATTTTATATGGCCTATGAGATGATGGTGTTAGATCATAGATGTGGGAGGTGAGTTAGTGGGAACAGGGGAGTTTGCCACAACACAGGTTCATGATGCATTGAAGAGCCATAAGGTTCATGAATATATCCTATGGATGCCACCTGTGCTGATGTGATCTGTGAATTGTATGGAAACTTAGGGCCTATTCTCTCACCCACCTTGGGAAAAGAGATCTCTCTGGGTCAGCATGCAGGCACAGGAGAGGGAGAAAACAAAATATTTTGTCAATTTGTTTGGAGGACCAATTTCTGGAGGGTTGAAATTGTCTTCACACGAAGTGTGTTGAGGAATCAAAATTGACCACACCCTGCCTTGTAAATGTGCCATGAGAATGCAGGAGTCCTGTGCTGCCTGTTTCTCATGCAACCAATTGTAATGGCTTGAGCTGCAAAACACCTCTGACCTTCCTTTTGCTGGGTCATGGCTTGAAAGCATCCCCTGCAGTCAGTGCTGTGAGCAGGAAGAACTCCCAGCTCTATGTCCTAACACAGGGCTCAGAAGAATATATCTGACTGTAGCTTGTGGCTTTGTCTTCCAGGTTTCTGCTCTCAGATTCCAGTCCTCAGAATTATCCGGATGGAGCTTGCGCATATTTGCAACGTAGTAAATTTAAAGCTGGAAGCTGTGGAGAAACTCGATTTTGCATTTGTGAGAAGAAGGAAGCGCAAATTAAAAATAAGGTTGATTAACCCACCAGAGAGACAATGTAGTTGGGGCTGGTCAAGGAGATCACTGCACCTGAAAGAGGAGCGTGGAGCTCAGGAACAGAAATGGATCAACCAGTAACAATCCCTGGAAGTTGTGCTGATGTTTACAGGGAAGGCAGCAGGGTCCTAAACTGAGATGGGACTTTCCTGTCTTCATTACATCCAAGTTTCTTCTTTTCTTGACCCTGTGTTGGGCTTTCACAGTAGCTTGGTAATCTCGCAGGCAAACAGAAAGATCCAAGAACTTATTATGTGTACAGCTGTGCAGGGCATCATAATTTCATGGAAATCACAGATGGAAAAACACCCATGATCCCCCGGGGATTGCTCATGCCCAGGCACAGATGCACGCTGTTGTGTACAAGGCAGGCTCTGGTCTTGTCCAACAGCAGGAGCCCTAAGAGTAGAGGTTTCCACCACTATCCTGGGGTGGTTCTGTGTCCTCTATCTGCTACAAGAATGTTACCTTGGTTCGGAAAATAAAGCACCTCCCACCACTTGCATGTTCCTTTGCTTGAGGAATGGGTGGGTTGTATCAGGAATGGTCAGATGTGCTATTTTGGTCTCTTTGGGACAGGAGTATGTCCATACTCTGAAGGGGTGCATGAGTTGCACCCAGGTCGAGATTGCCATTGGAAGAGGATGGGTGGTTCAGTGTCAGGTGTCGTCCTACAGATACCAGGTCTGGCCCCTGGCCTGTTTCACCCTGGCCTTCCCACCAGAGGAGGGGAAATGCCTGTTGCAGAGAATATAGCAGTGACCAGGTCTTTTGGGTTGGCGCACCTTGATCCCATGAGCTGTGCAGCAGGTGAGT